ACTTCTAGAGAAAATTACCAATGACAGAGAAAATTATAATAAACAGAAATTTCTCTGAGTTATGTTGACACAAGGACATAACTTTTTGTGGCTCAAGATTTTCACTGACCTTGTGGTTGAAGTTGTGTTGGTGTTCGGTATGGTTGTGTTGCTAGTTGGACAGATAGTTCTTGAACTTGTTCATGCAATTTAGCATTTTCAGTTTCAAGCTCCGAAATTGAATACCTTAACTGCTGAATTGTTTTAGTATCATCTTCTTTTTGAACCTCCAACATCTTTAGTTTCATTTTGATTGTGCTATCTCTTTCTTGAAGTTTTGAGTTAAGTGATGTCAAGGTTCTTATTGCAATATCCTTTTATGCAAGTAATTCATTCCAATTTCTCTCTTCTTCTATTTTAGATTTAGAAAGTGCCTTTAGTCTTTGATGTAGATCAGCAATGTGGGTTCTGTCTTCTTCTTTTTTAGATTGAGAAAGTGCCTTCAGTCTTTGACGTAGATCAGCAATTTGGGCATCCTTTGATTCCTCAAATTCTTTAGGCTAATGCATTGTTGAGCCACAAATGCTATCACGTTGTTGGTCCATCGGCTCATTATTTTCTTCTTTATCACTTTCATCCTTGTTTTCTTCTTGCTGTTCATCTTCTTCTTCATCTTCTTGTTCATAGGCTTCTTCTTTCTGTTCATTTTGTTCTTTGTCTTCTGCTTCTATTTCTTCACTTTCTTCTCTGGTTTCTTCTTCTCCGCTGCTTGCTTGATGTTCTTGTCCATTGCTGGCTTCGTATTCTTCTATGTTGCCTTCTGCTTGTTCATTCCCTCCATCTTCAGATGGATCTTGTAATGTCTCCTTGAATTTGACAATTGCCTTTTTTGATTCTTTCTTCGTCTTTTTGCCAAGACAAAACTTCTCTGATGGGTTTTTGACTAGCTGTTTGTTATCTATTTGTAACTATTTGTAACATGAGACTCTTTTATTAGAGAAATGTTACAAAATTTACTGAGAGAAAAAATTCAAATAAGGAAAATAAAATTCATCTAAATGATACTAATGGGAAACAAACTTCAGAGAAAAATATATAGGCCAGAGAAAATTAGAGACATGGAGTTGATTTTATGAGGCAGAGAAAATTATGAAACAAGCAACATAATTTAGATATCAGAGAAAATCAATCAGGGCATATAAGTTAATATGTTACAATTGTGGTCAGAGAAATTTGGATGGCAGAGAAAATTGATTACAATGGCAGAAATAGACCAGTGGTAACCAACGAAGAAAACATAAATTGATAGTTCAGAGAAAATTGATCTTAATCAATCAATGCACAAGGAGGGAAACAAAGCAGTGGTCAGAGAAATTTAAGAATTTCACTGAGATTTCAGTAGCAATAAGAATCTAACCTGCTGAGGTGCAAGAGAGTAGATTGGTGTCTTCTGCAGCTGTTTCGGCAAGGTTTGCAGGTTCTACTTGGCACATCTTGGGAAGTCAGTTGTGTTCTGTCTTCCGAGTCAATGATAGTTGCATGTTCACATAGCCAATACTGTGATGAAAATGAAAGTAAATAAAATTTTTTAAATGCACAAATTTGTAAGTATGATAACTGCAAATTTGAATGGATATTATACTTACCAGCAATGCAAAGACACACCCCGTAACTTTTTCTGGAGTTTTGTGCAATGCCATGATAGAATCAATCAATGTTGATGTGATTGCTTCTGGCCGATTATACTGTTTCATTGATTCAAGAGACTCCACATACTTTATAAAAACCCAACCTATTGAATTTTCACTTGTTGCAAAAAATAGGGTGAGACACAAGTACAATGTAACAATGATTGCTACATCTTTGAAGGCAGTTGGTTGCTTGCCTTTCATTGTTTTAACCAAGGCATTTTTAAGAACGGGACCAGTGAGCCTTGTGTCCTTTTGGAATCTTCTCCTGAGGAATGCAGATTTTGGCTTTTTAGAGTATCTTAATGACATGGCTCCTTTACCTCATTCCAAACCAAAAATCAAGGTCATGTCATTTGTTATAAAGGTCAGGTTCTTCTTACTAACTGTGAATGCTTTTGTTTTTTCATTGTAACATTGGATTATGGCAACTACATCATCATCGAATTTCCTAGATTTCTTTGGATCCATCCTTCCAGTGATTAGAGCTTGGATCAAATACCAGAATGGGGTCTTTTGAAGCTCTAGAAGTTGTTTTGAATTGAGTTTAAGTGTTTGAAAAAAGGAGACGACAGATGAGAGGTTGGATCGGAATTGCATGCTGTAGTGAGCTCTCTTTCTGTGGAGTTTAACAGGTTTTTTCCTCCTTGAGCTTGAGTCTTTTGAAGTTGGGGTACTCATCTAGATGCTAGTTGCTTCATCAGCTTGGACTTGTGTGTTTTGGTGAGGAGTTTGTGGTGTTTTGCTGCTGGTTTTTGATTTTGGATGATAAGAAGACAGAGAGTTGTTCTTTCTTGCTTGGTGTTTCTAGTGTTTTGCTGCTGGTTTTTTATCTTAGTCCATAAGAAGACTGAGAGAGTTTCTGTTTTTTGCTTGGTGTTTTCGGTGTTTCGCTGCTTTTACGTTTTGCCATTTCTAGACAATGATTAAAACATAAAGATGTCAACATTAAATCCCAGAGAAAATTGGACATGTTAGAGAAAATTACAGAAAAGAGAAAATTGGAGATGCCAAAGAAAATTACAAATAAGAAAAAATTACAGAAAATTGGACATGCCAGAGAAAATTTGACATGCCAGAGAAAATTGGACATTAAAAATTAAATGTCAGAGAAAATCAACATAGCATCATAAACATGGAAGAGAAATTTTCAATAATTGTTAAAATTACATATAGAAGTAAACATACCAGAGAAAATGAATGATAGAAAAAAGTAAACATGGCAAGCGAAAGAAAATTTCCATTTCACAATTAGCAAGATAAAATAAACAAAGTAATATAAACATGCCACTGAGAATTACACCATATTGAAACCAAGAATTGAACAAAATAAACATACCAGAGAAAAATACACATTCCGGAGAAAATTACACATTCTTGAGGAAATTTCCATTCCAGAGAAAATTTCAATTCATAATATTAAAATGTAAGAGAAATTTACATACACAACCAGAGAAAATTAACCATGATAGAGACACTCAAGAGAGGAAAGTGATGTGATGTGGTCAGAGAAAATTATAAATACCAGAGAAACTTAGACAGGGGCAAGATAGTAATAGACATTGTAGAGAAAAATACATATTCCAGAGAAATTTACAAAACAGAGAAATTCATAGACAAAATCACAGAAGCATGTTCAAGAATAAGATCAAAATTCAGATAAATAACTTTTTCTCAAAATACACATGGCAGAGAAAATTCAAAGAAGAAACATTCATTCCAGTCCATAATATTAAAATTCCAGAGAAAATTAAAAATGATAGAGACACACAAGGGAGGAAAGTGATGTGATGTGGTCAGAGAAAATTATAAATACCAGAGAAACTTAAGAAAGAGGCAAGAAAGCAATAGACATTCCAGACTAAGATAGACATTCTAATTAAAAATACATATTACAGAGAAATTTACAGAGCAGTGAAATTTATAGACAAAATTACAGAAACATGTTCAAGAATAAGATAAAAACACAGAAAATTGTTTTTGTGAAAATAAACATGCCAGAGAAAATTGAAAGAAGAAACATATATCAAGCAAAAATCAGAGAAATTCAAATGCCAGAGAAATTTACAGATAAAATCACACAAACATGTTCAAGAATAAGTTCAAAACACACAGAAATAACTTTTTCCAAATTCAGGTAGCTTTTTATTACGAAATTGAAACCCTAATTTATGGAAGGTTATTATAAAATGCTATTAACAGTGTTTTCAGAGAAAATCTAGTTGTATTGTAGAAAAACTAACCAGAGTTAGGATGAAACTTGAATGACGAGCTGATATGGCCCAAGATGAAGATGCGACGTGACGAAGATGGATTGAGATGATGATGAGCAGTGAAAACGAAGCTTTAACCTAGGTCAGAGAAATTTGTGAGGAAGGAATGGGAATGATTTTTGAAGAAGATAACGAAGCTCTAATGTCGATGGTGCAGATGATGTTGAAACCCTAATTCTGCTGTTCTCCTCTTCGTGAAGATGCTGGATGTTTGGAATGGAACTCAGACGTCGGAATGAGTTTCGTTTTTGTGTTGATTTTGGCAAGGGTATTTTGGTCCACAAAATAATTAAAAACGCGCGCCAAGTTGTTCAGGGACCTAATGCATCACTATTTTTTCGCGTGTCCTTTATACTCTAAATTGTTATTATTAGGGACCTTAAAAAAAATTCTCCTTGTTTTAATATTTGTTTTAGTTTTTTTAATATAGAAATAATTTTTATTTATTTATTTTACATAAAAATATTTTAACAATCCTATCACTAATTATCTCCCACACTATCATCAAAACAAACATATTTTTACTTAATCCTTTTACTAACAATCCCCACATTAACAATCTCTTCACTAACCATCCTCTTATTGACAATCTCATTCAACCTAATCCGCCAAACAAACGTGGCCTAATAGTATTGCCAAAGTTATAATTTGGCAATCTACAATAACAAAATGTCAAATTATAACAATGATGTTCCAACGGTCACATGCTATTTTGACAAATTTCAATCAATTTTTCCTCTAATTTTGTAGGTGATGTTTGGGTATAGGTTTTTGAATAATTTTTTTATTATTTATTTTTTTTCTTTTATGAACTTTTAAAAACTTTTTCTTAAAAAAGTCAAATATTTACATTCTACCCAACTAGATAAATATAAAAAATTAAAATAAATTGACATTGAAAAATCCCCAAATATAAAAAATCAAAATAAATTAAATAATTAAAATTACATTAAAATAAATTGACATTGAAAAATAAACAACAATCCAAAACCTATTTTTTCAAACAATAATTCGAATAGGGCGCTCTCTCTTTCTCTCTTTGCATCTTTTTCATTCTCTCACTCTCTTAATCCAGAACCTTCTCATTGACCTGCCTCACTTCTTTTCTTTGAAGAACAAACGTCTCTCTCTCTCTCTCTCTCTCTCGCTCGCTCCATTGTTCTCTCTTGTCTCTTCCCCAGAACCCACTACCACAAAATGGACTATTACCAAAAGAACCCCAACATTTCTTTCTCTTTCTCTTCATCTTGGTCTTTCACAGTCGACATCTCACCCCCTCTTCTCTTCATCTCTTTTGTCTCTCTCCCGTGACATCAATTGACGAGATCAAAGATCACAAACCCCTCTTCACATATCACAAAGAAGATGAAAACGAAGATCATAGATCAGGAAGACATTTCGCAGATCGCAAATCAAAGAGCCTTCTTCGTAGATCGCATATCACAAACCCAAACTTTTAATGCATATTGAAATTCAGGTATTTTCTATTTTAAATTTGCTTCATTTTTTGGGATTTTTGATTGAGATTGCTTTACTTTGCTTGAGATTTGGTGAATTTTGTTAACCAAAAAAAAAAATTCCCAAATCTATATAAACAAATTGGTGAATTCTGTTAAAAAAAAATTGGTGAATTTTATTTTAAAAAAAATTATCTGTTTTAGGGAGTTTTTTTCGGGAAAATATGAGAAAATGAGGGAGGATATAACAACCTCAACCTGTGATTAGCTTATAATCCATGATTAAGAATGCCTAATGAGTAATTAAGAAGAAATTCTGAATTAATTGCATGTGTTTTATGCTTATATCTGTCAATTGTAGAAATATATGTTGGCAATTTTGCTTGAAGCTGTGAATTGAAAGCCTTATCGGCATCAGAATACGAAATTGAATAGGCCAATGTGTAAATTAGAATTTTTGGAATATTATCGTAAGTTTAATTAAAATTCGATTCGAAATCAAATAATTAGAATAAATAATTACAATTTGATTAGGCTAAGCTAGATTAATTAGTGAAGCCTATATAAGGCTAATGTTGAGCCTTAGAACATTATATACACTTCCATTTCAAGCTTCTTGATTTCAAAAATGTGAGAGAGAGGAAGCGGGGGAGAGAGAGAGAGAAGAAATCAACTTAAACGCTAAGGACTTATAGAGAAATTGAAAGAAATTGAAGAGAACTTGGAGGATTAAGCTACTACATTTGAAAACTCAAAGCTTTAGGTAAGAATTTAATTCATCCTTTATGAGTTTGAGCTGGCTAACATTAGAATTCAAGAGAATTAAGTTGATTCATGTATAATTTGAGCTAAGAAAGTAGAATTGGGAAGCAAATCATGCATGCATGCTTATTTCATCATGGTTTGACTTTATTTTTCTAGAAATTCCTTATGCATGTCATTGTTCATGCTTGGTTTTGGAAATTCATCACATTTTACTTTATTTTATCTCAATTGATCATGTTTTGGAAGAAATGAACCCATATCAAGTCATGCATGTTTTATATATTGAATTTCAAGTTTTGTTTTGGATTAATGACAATGCTTTTGGGATTGATTTTGCGAAATAGCTTCAATTAAAGGAAATTAAAGGAAAACAATCTACCATAATTGAAGAAATTAAAGGAAAACAGTTAGAAAATGAATTTTTGAATAAGATTGTTGATGAGATTAATTCAAAACCGAGGCCCAGATTCATGTTTGGAGCCAATGTCTTGAAATTTCAAGGATGACTTTGTGTACCGGATTGTTCAGAGTTGAGAAAACGTGTTATGGCCGAAGCTCACAAGTCTAAATTTACTCTGCATCCAGGAAACACAAAAATGTACAAAGATTTGAAACAGAATTTTTGGTGGCTTGGTATAAAGAAGTGTATTGCTAATTATGTAGCCACGTGTTTGCACTACCAACAAGTGAAAGCTGAACATCAACCACCGACTGGACTGCTTCAGCCACTTCCAATACTAGAATGGAAATTGGAGCATATTACAATGGACTTCATTGTTGGACTGCCTTGCTTCTCTCAAGGTATGGACTCTATCTAGGTCATTGTTGATCACTTGACTAAATCTGTTCACTTTTTGCCTGTGAAAACATTTTATAATGCGGATAAATTGGCTAATATCTATGTGAATGAAATTGTGAGATTGAATGGAGTACCTGTGTCTATTATATCTGATAGAGACTCAAAACTCACTTCAAGATTCTGGCAAAGTTTGCAACAAGCCTTGGGAATTGAATTGAGACTGAGCAGTGCTTATCACCCTCAAACAGATGGCCAATCTGAACGAACCATTCAAACTTTGAAGGATATGTTGAGAATGTGTGAGTTAGATTTCCAAGGGAATTGGGAGATGTACTTATCTCTGGTCGAGTTTGTGTATAATAACAGCTATCATTAGAGTATTGATGGCTCCTTTATGAAGCTTTGTACGGAAGAAAATGCCAATCTCCGATTTGTTGGGCTAAAGAAGGAGACATGTCGTTGGCATCGCAACTTGTACAAAAGACAACTGAAAAAGGTGAAACTGATACAATAACAATTGAAAACCGCTCAAAGTCGTCAAAAGAGTTATGCAGATGTCCGAAGAAAAGATAGGGAATATGAAGTCAGTGACCATGTGTTCATTAAAGTAACTCCGATGAAAGGCCAGACACGGTTTGGAGTTAAAGGCAAGGTTGGCACCGCGATACATTGGGCCATATAAAATCATTGAGAAAATTAATCTAGTGACATATCAAGTGGCCTTACCTCCAGTCATGGAGAACATGCACAATGTTTTCCATATTTCTATGCTTTGGGACTATTTGCGAGATCCACTTCATGTCATTGAATTGATCCATGTACTTCTGAAAGATGATTTTACTTATAAAGAATGACCAATATAGATAGTTAACCATCAAATCAAAAGATTGAGAAACATTGAAATCCCATTGGTGAAAGTTGATTGGAAAAATCATAGAGGGACGTATGTGATGTGGGAAACCGAAGAAAACATGATGAAGAGATATCCTGATTTGTCCCCCCTAGACCCGATTTTTTTTCAAAATGAAGGTAATTCGAGTTTGGAGGACCAAACTCTTTAAGGAGGGAAGACTGTAACAACCCCAATCTGTGATTAGCCTATAATCCATGATTAAAAATGCCTAATGAGTAATTAAGAAGAAATTCTCAGTTAATTGCATATGTTTTGTGCTTATATCTGTCAGCTTTAGGAATATTTGTCAGTAATTCTGCTTGAAACTATGAATTGAAGGCCTTATCGCTATCAGAACACGAAATTGAATAGGCCAACGTGTAAATTAGAATTTTTGGAATATTATGGTAAGTTTAATTAAAATTCGATTCGGAATCAAATAATTAGAATAAATAATTACACTTTGATTAGGCTAAGTTAGATTAATTAGTGAAGCCTATATAAGGCTAATGTTAAGCCTTAGAACATTATATACACTTCCATTTCAAGCTTCTTGACCTCAAAAACATGAGGGAAAGGAAGAGGAGAGAGAGAGAGAGAGAGAGAGAAATCAACTTGAAGGCTAAGGAATTATAGAGAAGTTAGAAGAAATTGAAGAGAACTTGAAGGATTAAGCTACTATATTTAAAACTCAAAGCTTTAGGTAATGATTTAATTCATTCTATATCAGTTTGAGCAATCTAACATGAGAATTCTAGAGAATTAAGTTGATTAATGTATAATTTGAGCTAACAAAGTAGAATTGGGAAGCAAGTGATGCATGCATGCTCATTTCATCATAGTTTGAGTTTATTTTCCAAGAAATTCCTCATGCATGTCATTGTTCATGCTTGGTTTTGGCAATTCATCACATTTTACATTATTTTATCTCAATTGATCATGTTTTGGAAGAAATGAACCCATATCAAGTCATGCATGTTTTATATATTGAATTTCAAGTTTTGTTTTGGATTAATGACAATGCTTTTGGGCTTGATTTTGCGAAATGGCTTCAATTCATAAAGTTTTATGAGTTTACAAGTGTTTTCTTAAGTCTTGGCCCAAAAGAATGTGTTTTGATACATCAGAATTGAGTTTTGAAGCTTGGCGAGCAATCTGGAAATTCCAGAATTTGGCAAGATCGCTCGAGCGAAGTTCCTTTGCTCAAGCGTAAAATGCAAGCTCCTAGTACTTTTACAGACATGAGCCTTAGCTCAAGCGACAGAATCTGTGCTTAAGCGACCACCATTTATTCTCAACACTTGGCTCGAGAGACCGTCGAGCGTAAAAATCGAGTATCTGGTACTTTTGCAAACTTTGCAGATCGCTCGAGCGATCAAAACTTCGCTCGAGCGAACTGCCTTGTTTTCAAAATTTTGGCTAAGTCTTTCAAAGTGCATTTTTGCATCCTCATTGCATCTAAGGCATTCCTAGGCCATGTTTAAACTACAATAATGAGGATAAAAGTTAGAAACACACGCTAAGGAAGAAGAATGATAAGTTAAACACCTTTGAGACGTGTGTCCAATGTGTATCTATCATGTGTTTGTATAGATCATATGTTATCGCCCGCCTGATCAATCTGTTATGTTCAAGTAATCTGTCATGCTACTGCTGGCGCTATCTGTGAGTAACAACTTTGTAAAACTATGTTTGATTATACGTATTTTCTGATTGAAATGATATGATCAGTTTTTTGAAATGCTTTTATGAATCATGAATGAATGTCCATTTTTCTAAAATGTATTTGTGGCATCCTTAGTTCACCTGGCCTTTTCCCTGGGGTAACAATACCGTGGCTTATGTTCATGTGGCCCTCGTTCGGGGGTAACAGTACCATAGCCAATATGCACATGGCCCTTGCCTAGAAGTAACAATATATTAGTCTACGTTCATGTGACCTTTGCCCAGGGGTAACAATACCGAGGCCTATGTTTATGTAGCCCTCACCTGGGGGTAACAATACCATGGCTATATGTACACAAAGATGTTGACCTTTATGATTGTCGGTACCGACTATGCATGTTAGTCTTTATGACCAATCTGATCTGTTAGCTAATGGATGTACCACATATAACTGTTTATGAAATCTGTATAAGTATGTGAATCTGAATCTGAATCTGATATGAAATCTGATTTCTGAATCTGTTTTAGACATCATTCATAAACCCTTTACCCTATTGTTATCCACTAGGCTCTAGTTCACTGTATTATTTATGTATGTAGGTGATCAAACACGGGAACAGGCCTAAGTTGCTAGCCTAGAGTTTTGTTTTGTCAAGCCAGCCACTGTACCTCCCGAGGAGGTTCCCAAGTGTTTCAAATGCTCAAGTCTAGCGCACGTGATGTATGTCTTAATCTTTTCTTTCTTTTGTTAACCAAGATTTTTGTATAATCTGAATTTAGGGCTAAGTCTCTTTTTGTTTTGTTTAGAAATGGGTGTCGAAAGACAGTGACTACATATAAATATGTAAATATAAGTTTTAAAATCTCTGTCCCATATAAGTCTGCATAGCTCTATGGACGTTGTTTTTGTAATATTTGCTTCCGCTAAATCCTTGTATGTTAATATGTGTGACAACCCTCACCTCTGATTACTGCTAAACTGTGACTGAGTATGATAAGTAACTGATTAGGAGGAAATTCTAAACTGATTGCATGGGTGTATTGTCTGTAAATGCATTTCTATCTGTTTGACTACTAAATAATCTATTCGTGTTTTAATTTTGAATTGCGAATTGAAGGCCTTATCGGCGGCCGAATATGAAATTGATTGGTGTTTTATGTTAATTAGAATTTATGTGATTTTATGGTAGCTTTAATTTAAATTTGATTTGGGAGGATTAAATTAGAGTTATTTAAGTTAAATTACATTAGTTTGGCTTTATTACCAAATTGCCATTGAGTGGCCATTTCCTACCTATTTTGTTTGGACTTAATGGTTGTACTTTATATCATTTCCTCATCTCATTTGAGACCAAAACCGTGAGCAAGAGAGAGAGAGAGTTAAGAGAAAACTTGAGTTCATCAAATTTAGCTTGGGAACTAGAAGAAATTGAAGAGAGATTGCATAATTGAGCTTGTATACCTTGAATTCTAGACCTAAGGTAAAGATTCATCTTCTTGATTGTGAATTTAAGTTGTTTCTTGCATGATTCATGGAAAGATTAGTGATTTAAGGCAAGAATTAGCTTAATATGTTAAATTGAGGCTTAATCCATGCATGTATGCACATATTCTTGAATTTTGAGGTTGTTCTTCATGAATTTCCACATGCATGTCCACATTTTTGTTATAGTCCATGAATTCATCATGTTCTTGAGATAAAACTTGCATTTGGTCATGTGTTAGTAGCTTTGAATTCAATTGAACACATGCATGTTAAATGTACATCTTGTTCTTAAAGTTTATTTCAAATTGGTGTTAATTGGGTTACTTTTGGGCTTGATTTTACAAAATTGATCTTTGAAACATGTTGTTTTATGGGTTACCAAGTGTTTTCCAAAGTTTTGGCCCAGAAAAATGAGTTTTGAATGGTTGAATGTTGAATTTCATGTTTGGAGGTCAATCTGGATTTTTCAGAAATTTGACCTACGCTTGAGCGGGGACTTTCACGCTTGATAGTGAACCCTGAGTACATGCATTCTGCTCGAGCGGTGAGAGTTAAGCTCGAGCGTGAAATGCGTATACCCAGAAGTTTGTGTGTTTTGCAGTACGCTCGAACGAGAGAGTTCACGCTCGAGCGAGGACCTAAGTCTCACGCTCAAGCGGAGGTCGAGCGTCCGTCGAGCGTGAATTGCATGCATCCAGTACTTTTCATGAAGGTTACAGTCTGCTCGAGCGAAGGAATTCAAGCTCGAGCGGAGCTCCTTTGTCTGCATGTTCGCTCGAGCGTAGAAAGCCACACTCGAGCGGGACTCCTGTTTTCTAAAAATTTTGAAAAGTGTTTTAAAGTGCATCTTTGGATCCTCTTTCCATCTTAGACATTCCTAAGCCATGTTTAAGGCATCTTAATGAGGATTTTGATGTAGAACCACACCGAGTCAAGATAGGGACTAAGTTGTTGATTCCCAAGTGTATAACTTAGTGTGTGTTCGTTCTGTAACTGTGTAGGATTGGCATCCGAGGACGCTCATTAGCGGCTTATAGCCCAGTGCTCTGTGAGTAACAATGTTGTAAAGATATGTTTAATTATGAATATTTTCTGAATGATCAACTGTTCTGTTTACTGAAACGTTATTGTTTAATGAATGAATGTTTGTCCTATTTGTAAACTGTATTCGTGGCATCCTTAGCAACTTACTGTTACTGTACTGTTACTGCTACTGTCAGTCGGTTCCCAAGTTTGGAACCACTACTGTTACTGTTATGATGGCCATCAACTGACTGTTCGGTCTGTTAAGACCTACTGTACTGTTTTGCTATTGGATGTACCACATATAACTGCTATGGTTTCTAAATGACTGATATGACTGTTTAATTACTGAAAGGACATTCATTTTTAACCTCTTTACACAATTGTTATTCGCTGGGTTTTAGCTCACTGTTTATATATATATGTATGTGTCCAGGCACTGGATCGGAGTTAGGAGTGTCGGGTTAGCTCTCGTTTTGTCAAGTCAACCGTTGTGCCTCACTGTAAGGTTCCAAGTCGTTTCAAGCTAGGGCTGGTTTGGGGTGTTTTAGATTTCCCCTTTTGCCTCTGTTCTGTAATAAATGTTGAGACTTACACTGTACTGTTATGTTAGGGATTTGGTCCCTAACCTGAATGTCTGTATATGATGTATGTATATACTGTTTTGGTTTGAATGTGAATATGTTCAGGAAACTCTTATTGCATTCAAAATGTCACAGCTCATTGGACACCTTTTATTTACTGTTTTGGCTTCCGCCAGCCCCTGTACTCTGTATTACTGTCTTGACTGTTAAACAAGCTTTCGGTAATCACGGATTACTGGCCGGTTACGGTGCTAAAACCATAGTGGCGGGTTTGGGTCGTGACAATATGTTTCAGAGGCCTTCGGTAATCTTAGGATTACTGACCGGTTACGATCCTAAACTTATAGGGGTGAGTTTAGGTCATGACAGAGGGAAGGAATGAAAGAAAGCAATTAGTTTTGGGTGAGCTGGCAAATTTGGCAGCTGCCAAAGCTTATGACAAATTTGGCACAAGATTTGACAAATGCCAAATTTAACAGCCGCTATATTATGCCATTGAAGAACCCATTTTGCCCTAAGCTGCCATATTTTGGCAATAGCAGGTGTTTTAGCAATCCGTTGGAAATGCTCTAACTAATTTGTTTTGCTCTGATATAGTCAACTCTTGAAAAAATGAGATTAACCTAGGAGATAGAGAGATCAAATTTGTTGAGGATTGGTTTGAATATAGATTATTTTAGTAACTTTTTAATTTTTTTAATTAAAATATGAGGTGAAAAAAATTAATATTTTTGGGATGATTTTTTGTTTTTGTTTTTTTTTTGAATATATAAAAAAAGTAGAGATAAAATAAAATCTTTATTTTTTGTATAATTTTTTAACTTTTTGACATTTTTAGTGACTTTTTAACTTTTTAATTATTATAGTATATTGTCAAATGATTCTCACCTAATTTCAACATAGGTTTTTGAATTTTTAACACTTACAAGGGTTCTCTCTACTTTCAATCCTCCTCACATATTGTTGTGGGTGTTTTTCCTCATTAGCTCTAACTTCTAGTAATGACTGAAGCACAGCAGTGGCAGTGGCAGTGGCAGTGGCAGTGACAGAGATTGGTAGCGACGATAAGGACAACGTCGACGGCAAGTTTGCTGCAGATCTTACTTTTCGAAACCATATCTATAAGAAGATCAGTGATTTTTCCTAAATCTTAGCTATTTTTTTCACAGTTTATTTTTTGTTGTTTATAGTTCTTGTTAGATTGTTTGTTTGGCCCTTTAACATCATGTTCTTTTAATTTCATTTAATTTTATTTTTTTTTATCTGTAGAAGAGTAACACTAGACAAATATAATTTTTCTTAATGGCTGGTAGAATAAGTAATCAAAAAGAGTAATGCTGCACAAATATAATTTTTATATAAAATACACTATATATATACAAATTCTGTTTATGAATCAATATCTAATCAAGAATAAAAGTTTATTCTATTACGACGCAAACATTATAATAAGGAGGATTTGAAATTACATTCACATTTTCACTCAAAATTCATATCATTTAAATTTTATAGCAATTACATCACTTTTTGTAACTTTTTTTTATATATACAAATTTTCATTATGACTAATTTAGTAAGGGAACATGCTAATTTAGTAATTTTTTGACTATTTAGCTAAAATATGAGGTAAAAAAATTTAATATTTTTGAGATGACTTTTTACCTTTTTACGAAAAGATGTGTAAAAAGTAAAGAAAAAATAGAATCTTTGACTTTTTAATATGAGTTGTTGACTTTTTTATTTTTTTAATAATTTTTTAACTTTTTGACTGAATGAGACGCTTCCCAAACGATGCCTAAATCATTGTTTTTTTCTCTCAAGTTATCTTCAACCCCCCAATGGTTACCAAATGTGATCACCCAATAGGCAATGTTGGGGAAGAAAGATTTGTAGTCAAAAATATACTATAATTTATTATATTACTCTTTTTATTTTTTATACTCCCTCCGTCCCATAATATTAGTCCCTTATTTCATTTTTCATTGTCCCAAAATATTAGTCCCTCTTCAAAAATTAAGTACAAAAATAATATAAATTTCCCATTTTGCCCTTCTTTTAAATTCATAAATAATATAAAAAGTACAATTATGACATTGATATTCTCAAAAAAGTGTACTATCAAAGGGTAATTTTGGAAAACCAACTTTTTAAAAGTACAATAATTGTATTACCAAAAAAAGTTAGATTCCCTAAAAGGGACCATTATTTTGAGACGGAGGGTGTATTTTTTTTTATAAAAAATTTAAATAGTTAATTTTCAAACTAGCATTAATATTTCTGTGCATTGTGAGATGGGGAGGGAGGGAATGAGTGACGTTAAGCTTAGGGAGGAAGAAGACAGGTTGGTAGTTGACTCAAATGATGTTAGGTCATTTCTCCCTCCCTTCATTGATCCATCACTGTCACGTGGAGACCACCACCAAACCTGCCTATATTCCTCTGTTCTCTCCCCTCTCTCTTCTCTATTTGCATGTTTATATATGTTGTACACACATTATCACTTCCCCATCCACCACCACCACCTCTCTCTCTCTCTCTCTCCTCTTATTATCATATCCCACCAAACTCCTTAACTTCCCTACCAGCTTTACTTTTGCTATCTTACGCACACAGCTTACTTGCGCACCCCCAATCCCACCACCAGAAAACCAAAAACTCTTTTTCATCCAATAGTTCCGTTTGGTAAAACTGTAAAAAAATAATTATAACTTATAATTTAACAGTTTATAATTTATAACTGTGAATATAAACTGATTTTTAATTTATAAATTAAGTTTTTCCTCTCCCACTCAAAGAAGAAGTTGATTTTTGATTTACAAAAAGTTATAAACTGTATTGTTGAGCTGAACCAAACACATCAAAATAACTTAAATTAAACTAAAAATTAAAATAAACTAAAAATAAACTCTACCAAACAGTACCAATATGATGAATCAACATCCCCTTTTACTATTGTCAAATGTCTTACGTTATTAAGATGTCTTGCTTTACTTTTTGAAAAATTTGGTAAAAACCTCTTTGTTGGAGCTTTGTCCGGTAAAAAAAAATAATTTATTTTATTTTATTTCATAAATCTTTTTGAGGAGGAGATACATAAATGAGTAAAAATAAAGTAAAATATTTTTTTTAACAATATTACCATAGTAACATGTTACTGTGAACTTAAAACAGAGTAACATATTACTGTAAAATAAAGTAACATGTTATTGTTTATATCAATTTCGACATGTAGATCAAAAGTTATATTATTTTAAAATTTAATATTTTAATAATAATGATATGTATTGAACTTTTAAAAAAAAAATATTTTATACTTATCCTTAATATATTAAAATTTTATTGTGATAGTATTTTGACCAAATTTCCCTACTTTTTCATACAATAGATGTGTTTTATGAAAATCAACTAGTTATAAATGGAGAAAAAAGAAAATTTAAGAAATTATTAAATTCTGACTTTTAAAAAAAAAAATATTTTATACTTATCCTTAATATATTAAAATTTTATTGTGATAGTATTTTGACCAAATTTCCCTACTTTTTCATACAATAGATGTGTTTTATGAAAATCAACTAGTTATAAATGGAGAAAAAAGAAAATTTAAGAAATTATTAAATTCTGAAGTTTGATATTAAAATTTGAGGTAATTCTATAAAGGTACATTGGGAATAGAAAAAGTGTGACAAAAATATTGCTCCTATCAATCAGTTTTTTGGTTTTTTGTTTTTGCCCAATAGGATAGTAGGAATTAATAAATTAAATTACAATGAAAGGTTGTAATGATTTCATCAACTCAAATTTTAAAATTTTGCCCTTTTTACTATTATAAGAGATAATTACATGAATCACTTAGCCAACTGCCCTCTCTTAATAAACCAATTTATTTACATATGTATAATTTGTAATTAAATTTAATAATTACGACAATTATTTTAAGTAGTTCAAAAGAATTAAAATATTTTATTGTTATTATGTTCTGGGAGTATTTTTGAAAAAAAAAAAATTTGTGACATTTATTGACAAAGATTTTTGCTTTGTATATTAGTCTAGAAGATACAACCGCTTCGTTTGGCAAAACCATGTTGGGGATAAAAAAATAGTCACTAAAATATAAAATATGTTAAAAACCAAACCAAGGCTTATTTTGAGAAGATGGTAAAAGTAATTTTTTTGACTTTTAACCAAGTTTTTGGCTTTTTTAGGCAAATGATTTGAAAAGTTGGTAAAAAGTGACTTTTGACTTTTTTTATTAATATTTATTTATAATGTCAAATCATAATAAAATTACCAAACAACCCCCATTTATTTAAAATATTTACAACTTCACCTATGTAACACATTTTGACCCATGAGGGTAAAATTGTAATTTCACCGTTGGCTAAAAACCAACTTCCCAAATGAAAAAAAAAAAGACAAAAAAGCCAACTTTTAGCTTTTTCTACAAACCAAAAAAAGTGGCTAAAAGCCAACTTCCTAAAATAGCCCTAAATGGGTTAAAAAGTCAATAAAATAAAATATTATATTCAAACCATAATTATTTTAATTTTTCCATCCCAAAAATAAAAAAAAAATAATTCAAACGAACTTTTAGTCTTAAGCTAAAAAAGTCACCAACTAAATTTTTTTTACCAAATGACAACATAGTATACATGAGAATTATAAACAAGGACCTGGAGCCCCTCTAGTCCGTAATCCGGATTGGAGGGTGTTATTCAGGCCCGTGAAATTTATTACAGATCTCGTTTTAATAATCAGAATCGTTCATTTCGTCTGACACTTTATATATATCAATCACAAAAAAAATTAGATTGGTCAAATAATCGTAACATATTCAACTTATTATGTTTGTCAACAAAAAAAATTACACAACAATTGTGTTTTTAAAAATACATTTTTTTTTTTTGTTTGTGACAAACACGATAAATCGAATAAGTTATGATTATCGAATCGACCTAATTTTATTTTTATTTTTTTATGATTGATATACACAAAGAGTCCGAAAAAATGAACGATTTGTATTATCAAAACGGGACCCATAATGAGATCGGAACATCACTTAATTTGTAAAATTAGTGGTTCTCTTTAGTGGTTCTCTTCTTTTTTATTAAATAAAAGATGTACCAAAAACAACTGTAATTGCATATTTGGTTTTATTTTCAGAGTTTTTTTTTTTTTCTTATCCTAAAGAAGAAATTAGTTTGATAAAAATAAATACCTAAAAATTGTTTTTTATTTTTTTAAATTAGTTTTTTCCTAAAAAATAGAAAATTATATAAAAATAATGAATTTTTTATTTTTTTACCAAACTAGTTTTTAGTTTTAAAAAAAAAACAGAAATTAAAAAAAGAAACCAAAAAAAGGTGAATAGAGATGCTAAATAAGTAAAATCAATTGTAATATTACTAACAAAGATGCTAACACATTTTCATGCAGCCCATCACACTTTGGTCATTAAATTTAGGATAAAATACAGCTCACCTCCATGTGATTTGGGTTTGGAGTAATTTTCGCCCATTGAAATTAGGCAGACAACTCGGTTGTGATTGTAAACTAGATTCAAACACAAACTCCTAGGGATAGTCATTTTAATCCTATTCATAAGGGCCCGCTTATATCCATCCGAATGGAACTGATTTTACCCGACCTGATACTTATGTAGGACAGAAATAAATTAT